ACGCCTGGATCTATCTGTACTCGCGACAATTGGTTCGACGGGTGCCCTCTTATTTCGATTCGTATATCTTCAATTCTGCCCCTCTTCAGGCGCGTACGGCGTACAGGAAGCCGCTGCGCTGATGCGTTTAAACTGATCCGCTCACAGTTGTTCTGGAGGCCATATCAGGCCGTCTTGGATGCATCTTGGGCCGTTTTGGAGGCATCTTGGGACCATCTTAGCCGTCTTGGAGGCCATCTTGGGCGTCTTGGAGACCTCTTAGGCCGTCTTGGGGTCCTCTTGCGCGCATCTTGAGGGCCTCTTGGGCCGTCATGGGGCCATCTTGGAGACCTCGTGGGCGATATTGGGGCGATTTTGGGTGACGTCCCATACACGGGGAAATTTATTTTTCGAGTTAGTATACGATGAATTGCCAGAGAGGCCCAGTGTTGCGGTCGGCACACGTTGGGAGAACATCAAGAAACTTTACAAAGATCTGGGCACGACTGGGCATAGGGTTTCATTCCAGTGCTGTCGCAATTCCGCCGCGCTAGGGGGACTCTGGGCTACAAGGGAACGGAATCCGTTTGGGGTTTGTTTCGAAAGTTGGGGACGCGGGGGCGAGATCTATGATCGAACGTGTAGCCTCTAATTCGAAGTCGCTGTGTGTCCCTTGGAGTCCGGTCCAGGGCGCGGACGCGTCGGTCTCAATTATTTTTCGGGTGACAAAAAAAATCCCTCGGACACAGTTCCCGTGCATGACAACCAAAACTAAAATGGCAGCACAAAGGGAATTGGTACCCATTGCGGCGGCGCTGGCATCACCACACGGCGACGGCACGATTATCAAAAACATGAGGGAGTCTTGTGTTGCCAGTCTGAACACTTTCTACCAAGTCACAGAGGGCGCGAGGATGTACCTTACGAGTCGCGAGCACCAGTAAGCCCTTAAATCTGCAGAGAACACCCTTGTCTATTACGGGGCACTGGCATCATATGCCAAACATAAGAAGCTGCTCAGATGGATCATTGTTAACAAGCAACACCACTTTTACCATATAGCGCAACCGATTCGATGTATCAGTTGTAGATGGCTCTGGTGTTATCAATCAGAAGACTTTTTGCGACATATTGGCAAGGTCGCGAGTTGTGTGATGATGGGATCATCCATTTTGGACTTGTCCCCAAAATTGTGCGAGCGCTGGAGGATAGGCTACTAGCTCCAAAGCTTCGCGTATCCGCGTATCCCTGGTCGATTCGCTCGTGTACATCAAAGCGTAAACAACGAGAACAAAGAAAACACGCCGACGGTCTGGTGGTCCCGTTTGATGTTGGGGATCGGTGGTTTTCGATATGAGTCGTCATCTTGACTAGCGCTGCTTGTCTCGGCGGTCTGCCGAGAGGGAGACAGACTTGAGCGGTGCGAAGACACCGCGTGGGAGAGCCAAAAGCATGCAATCCTCGTTGTCCTCCTTCTTCTTCCTTCCTCTTAGTCCTCTCCCTCCTTCGCCTTCCGCCCCAGTTCGCCCCCTGCCCTTTTTACCTTTTGTCTGGCAGGGACTTCAGAGAGGAGCCCTTGAGGGGGGGGTGAGGAGGAGGAAGAGGAATAGGTGGAGGAGAAGGAACGGGGAGGAGGAGAAGGAGGAGGAGGAGGAATATGAAGAGGGATAGGTGGAGGAGAAGGGAGGAGGGAGAAGGGATGAGGACAAGGAGAAGGATGAGGAGGAGGAGGGGGAGGAGGAGAAAGAGTAGGAGGAGGCGCTCACACGAGGTCGCCGAGTACGTTTTTATGGCTTCAAAAAGCCACGCATATCGATGTTATGGATTCAAGAAGCCATGCCTATCTTCAGAAAACATGTCAATGCAGAATCTAGTGTTTGTCAATCGTTTGATCGAAAGTGAGCCCCATTTTTGATTCAACCGCGCCCCATTTTCGAACGGCTCCCGCGGCCCATTCTGCTAAACGCCGCGCCCCATTTTTGTATGTTCTCGCGGAGCCCGTGGGGCCCCATTTCTGGTGCGATGCCAGTTGGGCCCCATGTTTGAAGCTCGTTTCAACAGGACCCATTTTTTGGGGGGCTCGGAGCATCTGGGGTGCCGAAGTGGCACTGGGGACGCATGCGAACCCTGCCACCGGGGCCTTCGGTGGGGCTCCCCGTGGGGCCACGAACCCAGACGCCTTCGAGTAATGACAAAATCAGGATGGGAAAAAACACAGAGACAGAATTCATCGTCGATCCCCCTGAAAATATGGGGACACATGGGAAGTGGGGGGTGAGACAAAAACCTTGAAAATATTGAAAAATATGGGGAATCTTTTTATTTGTATGCATTTATTTGTGTGTCCTTGGGCCCCTTCATAAAATCATGGCGGGAGGTGTTTCGCCATTTGTGGCCCCTGGGGGTTCTCACCGGGCCGCGGGACCGTCAAAGAACGACTCGGGATGAAAGACCGGCCCCGGGGAACAGGTCGAGACCTCGGGGGGCGTACGTAATGAACAAATCATGACGTCTGGGGTCTGGGAACCGTGTGATGGGTGCGCCGAAATTGGCCTGAGGACGCATGTGACCCCCCTGCCACGTGGGGCTTCGGTGGAGCTCCCCATGGGGCCACGAAGCGCGTGAGGGATGTGCAGACATGGGCCTGCAGGGCGCATGTGACCCCCCGCCACGTGGGCCTTCGGTGGAGCTCCCCATGGGGCCACGAAGCGTGCGAGGGGTGTGCAGAAATGGGCCTGGGGACGCATGCGAACTCTGCCGTTGGGGTCTTCGGTACAGCTTCCTATCTGGCCACAACGACGATGTGGAAGTCCAGAGAGCAGAATGACAGATACTGTTGTTGATGATGATGAGGATGATGATGATGATGATGATGATGATGATGAGGATGGTGGTCGCGATGATGGAGATGATGACGAATCCGATGTGCATGGTGAATACGACGACGATGATGGTGCTTAACGGCAATGACGACGATGACGGTGGCAATGACGATGTTGCTTGTGATTATGGTGATGATGACGTCGATGCCGATGATGATAACGCTGAGGATGCAGCTGCTATCGATGGAGAGGAGTACAACGACGATGACGATGATGATGCTGATGCTGATGATGGTGTTGGTGATGCTGGTCATGCTGATGATGCTGCTGCTGATGATGATGCTGGTCATGCTGCTGCTGCTGATGATGATGATGCTGATGATGATGATCATGGTGCTGATGGTGATGATGGTGACGGTGGTGGTGGTGGTCGTGGTGATGATGATGATGACGATGCTGATGGTGGTGGTGGTGGCGATGGTGGTGATGGTCATGCTGCTGTTGCTACTAATGATGATGATGCTGATGCTGATGCTAATGCTGATGATGATGAGGATGATGACGATGATGATGATGATGATGATGATGATGATGATGATGATGGTGGTGACGACGACGATGTAGATGGCGACGGTGACGATGCCGATGCCGATGGCCATGACGATGATGACATGCGGAGGGCAAGGGCAGGGGTGGGGAGAGGGAGGTGGAGGAGGAAGGATGAGGAGGGGCAAGAGGAGGAGTGAACGCGAGGCGCTGCGGTTTCGAGACGAGAGCCCAACACCACTGGACGGTTGGTAAAAAGAGCAGCCGCCGCCCCCATGCGTTTACTCGGCCTCGCGGGCGGGCAGGCGCTGATGAGATGACTTGTGCCATTTGCATCGGCCATGTCGGGACCAGGGCGCTCAGCTCTCATGTGTCAGGTGGGCTTCTTTTTCAAGGCTTGCCGCGCTGGCTGGGACCGTCGCAGTAGATCCAGGGCTGGAGCAGATGGGGTCGGAGGATTGCGATGCGGCGCCATCTTGATCCTGGCTTTGCACATCTGTATGATGCCCACGGATGCGGCGTGATCTTCCCACTCAATTCAGTCTGGCCACATGCGAGAGGCCTCCAGTAAGGCCAGGCGCTTCCATTTGTAGCCGTTTGGGCCGAAGCCTGGCGCGAGTCGCGCGCGCGTGTCGCATTTAAAGCAATGTTTTGCACCGGGCCTGTTACTGATACAGATGGCACTGATGACGAATCCCCGAGCTCGAATGGGTCGATGACAAATGTGTTATCTGGCTGCCTGCGGCAACCTCCTTCGCCGTGTCAGCGCAGCCAGCAGCACGGAGGAGGTCGATAATCAAGACCCAATCCAGTTCAGTGCCATGTTTGATCTGTCGCGGGTCTCAACGCCCCCTTTGTGTGCGCAGTCACTACCTCCTTCACATCCGAAGGACCTTTGGAAGTTTCTTGTGGTCCTCGGGGGCCTCTTCCAGGGACCCACTTGGGACCCCGTCGGGGCCATGTGGCCGTCTTGGTTGCGATGGTTCTACCGAGCACTCCCGAAGAGACTCGGTTGAACCATCTTGGGGACAGCTCGGCGGGTCGTGGAGCCCTCTTGAAGCGGTCTTGGGCCGTCTTGAGGCGCTCTCGGGCACTATATGGGGGCATCTTGGGGCCCTCTTCAGGCCACCCTGGGCCGTCTTCAGGGCGCGTCGACGCCTCAACAACGCTGCTGTTTGCAGTGGTCTCGGGCCTCTTCAAGCCGCGCTGGAGCCCTCTTTGGGCATCTCTTGAGGGCTTCTTGGTGCCAATTGGTGCCTCTTGGGGGCATCTTGGAGCCCTCGGCAGGTCATGGAGCCGTCTGCGGCTCGTCTGTGGACAGCTTGCATCTGCCTTGGAGGCGCGGCCCTGATCCGTGTAGAGGCCGAGATGGGCGCGAAGAAGCAAACCGAGAGTGTGTGGCTTTGTAGTGGTGCGCTCGCCAGGCTTTGTGTGTGCCTGCGTATGCAACTTAGAAGAGTCCATATCAGCCAACATATAAGCATGACTAACACTCCACCAATGTGCAAGCGCGGTGGCGGATTATCAAGTCCCGAAGATGAGACGAACGCTGAACAGGCACAGAAACGAAAAGCCTACAATGTCACATCCCAGTTACTTCTCATCGGTTCGGTTCTCGCAATATGCGGCCTTCTTGCGTCTTTGCTGCTTCTGATGTTTCGGACGCAGTGTAGCCTCGATGACCGCGTGGGCATGTATTCGACCCTTTCTGGCGAGGTAGAGATGTGTATTGAACATTACAAGGGAGAAGACAAGATGCCGTCAGAGCTCCGGCATCCGATTCAAGGACGCATGCTTGTCAACGTCCCATCCGCGCCGTGCCAGCAGGACGAAGCATGCAGCGCATATCAGATGGGCTTCTGCGGCGGTGGGCCACAGACCAGTTCCGGAAAGCTCCTTCGCGTTCCAGACTATTGTTCGAGCTCGCAGCATTATTGCACTTGCATGGCCGCGATTCAACCCTGTGGGACAAAGGGATACTTCACGTTTGGTTTCAAACCGAAGGAGGTCTTGTCTCGTTGCGAGGGTGATGATTGCGAAGAAACTATATCCATCGAAATTCCTTATTGGCCTGTCATGAGGATGGGCCTCTTGTCAGGAGGTTGTCAACAGGTCCAAAAATGCACATTGGAAAACGTGCAGATCTGGATTGAGCACGAATGCGAGGAACGCAATCTGTTCAGTCCACTGGATCCCAGTGCCACGATTTGGAGAGAATTGCAGCACGAGTTAGATGTAATTCCAGATGTGTCGTTCGGTTTTTTTTGGCCCTCGACCATCTCAGAGTCCGTCTCCAGGACGGGTTCCGCCGCGAAGACGCTCTTCTTCGGTTTCATGCTGTGTGCTTCGTTGTGCCTCCTGGCGTCAGGGTACACTACACAGATGAAGACCGTAGACTTGCCGTCGCTGGTTATCCCAATCATCGGCGTTGAGTTCAATACCATGAGGTCTTGGTTTCCTCCGATCGGGCTCATCTTGTTATCTGCCGTCCCGATGGTCCCTGCGAGCCAGATGCACGATTTCCCTGGTGTCCTACTCACGTCTGTGCATCTAGTGGGAGCGCAGTTCTGCTTTGTCGTGTACCTGGTGTGCGAAGGTATGGCTCTAATTGACCGTGAGAATGCTCGCGAAATGAGGGAGAACAACCGTTCGGAGTGGTGCGTGCGCTTTGGCCTGTTCCTGACCGGGTCTATCGCCATGCTTCTCTTCGTGAATTCATGGGCCTTTCTCGCTGTCTTTGGGGGGGGTGAGACGACCCCGTACCTTGGGACTTTTCCAGATTGGGGCTACAGCGACTTCTATAAGACCATTCACACTGGTGAGACGTTTCTGCTGCGTCCGGCAGAGGGTACATGGCAGACGCTGAAGATGATATCGTACGCTGCGGAGCTCATCGTGAGCCTGTCGATCCTCTCGAGCATGCTCATGATTTGGTTCTTCAATCATCGGCTTCCCGTCGACAAACCCCAGCTACACGCGAGAACTGTCATGTGCCGCGGGAAGTCGGATCCAGAATACCAGGATTCGTGAGCTGACCAGGCGACAACACCACACGGGCAACAGAACTCAAACAAGAAAAACAAACATTCAAGATGTCGGATGTCCTCGAGGATTTCTTGGACCAGCGCTGGACCCCCCTCTCCGGAACGCGGAGGTCACCAAGGCAGCGCCGATCCAATAAGTTCCCTCAGACGTCCGACAGATTGTGTTCACGCGATTTTCCTTGCATTTAAGCGGGACCCTTGTTCCGCTTCTGGCTCCTCTTCCACCTCGCCGCCTCCCGTTCGTCCTATCGGCGCTCGTCGGCAGCATTTCGTGGAGACGGTGGAGCCGTCGCGAGGGTATGTCGCAGGCACGGCCAGGGTTTAAGAGGCCCCTCGGCTTGATACCGCGGCAGAGTTTTCAGGGCTTGACCAGGCATGCCAGCATGTATCAGCTGAAGCTTGTGCATGCACGTGGAGGCAGGTATCGAAGCAGAGCAATACACATAAGCATGCACTTTCGGAGTTCCTCGCAGATTTCTTGGATCGGCACTGGACCCCCTCCCTGGCGCGCGCAGCTTGGGCGGCGCCAGACGTGTCGCCAAGGGGGTCCTGTCCCGATGCAAGAAATCTCCTCGGATTCCCAAAAGGAAATGTTAATTGGGAAGGCCTGAACATAAACATAACAACTCGGAGGTCCGCGTGGATGTCTTGAATCGGCGCTGGACCCCCCCTCCCTGGCGCGCGGAGCGCGCCAGGGGCGGCGCCGGAGGCGCCGCAAGGGGGCCCCAGCGCCGATCCAAGAACGCCGCGCGTACCTCCGAGTTGTTATTTTTATGTCATAGTTTGCTCCCCTATTCCCGCCAGTGCCGCCGGCCCTGTATGCGGGGACTCTCCCGGGACCCCCACAGGTGACCCCTCCCGAGACCCCCCAGGACCCCGGGGCAGCGGTCTTCTGACCCGGGACCCCCAGGAAGGGATCAAAGGGAAAGGCTTTCCATCGAGTGAGCTACGACTTTCCTGAACCTCCTTGTCCCGCGGGGGGCAGTTTTCTGTATTCTGACCCAGGACACCCACCCCACTCCACCTGGGACCCTCCCTCCCTGGACGGGGAAGGGATCAAGGGGAAGGGGTTTCCCTTCCAGTGATTTGCGACGTTCCAAAATTTCCTTGTGGTTTACGACGACGACGACGACAGCGTCGTACACGCCGACAGGGTCGGCGGATTTATAGGTGTTCCTTCTGCTAGGGGGGTAATGCCCAGAGGAAGGAAATGGCAGAGGAGGAGTGAGGAGGTGAGGAGGAGAAGGATGACGACGAGTGAAGAGGAAGGGCAGGGCACAGCGATGACGAGGACGAGTAAGGCAGGATAACGATTCAGAGATTGCAAGAGTTCATGTTCATGCGGCGGCGCCCGGGATGATATTTAGACAAACAAGCCACGGGCCATGACATAGTTTTCAATCGTTCCCCCCCGCCTTCCTCGGGCGCGTGCCTGGACGGCCGACGGGCCAGACGGAGCCGATGCGGAGGATGAGGAGGGGGTCAAGGAGAAAGAAGAGGAGTCACCAGCAGCGGGATGCTATTTCAACCACGAACATGTCGGATCTGTAGTTGCCATGAGCTGCAACAGGAGATGGACGATAAGGAGGTGCAGTTGAAGATGTAATAGGTGCCATAGTAGACATTGACATCACCGCGTGAAGCTATTAAGACCCCCCCTTCCGGTGAAACGACAATTCACCAAGCACCTTGAATCGTTACTCTCGCACTTTGGCATTCGGCCGTTGTTTAGCACTCCTCTGGAGCCCCCAGCAACCCTCGAACGTGGCGAGGAGGAGAAGGAGGAGGAGGAGCCTGGGTATGGCGACGCCAAGGTTTCAATTTCTGCGCGAGTGCTGAGGATATCGCTCCGCTGATTCTGCCCCCGTGGGTCATTTATTTCGGTGTCGATGCTAACAGTAACGTTGGGGCGCTTCTTAATCGCTTCCTAGGGCTAGGATCTGAGTGGCAGTGTTAACAGTACGAGCTTTGGTGGGCCTGTGCGAGCTGCTGTCGTAGAAGATGTAGTCCGCGTTTTTTCGAGTCCAGAGTGAGCTGCAGCAGGTGCTGTAGTGACAAGAGCTACGTGGGAGCTGTTCCACGGGCCGTATTCGGAGCTGGCTGAGATCTGCAATCGGAGCCGTAGTAGGACAGGTGGTACTAAGAATTGCACTAGGAGCTGATTCGGAGATGTATGTTCAGGAGCTGTACCTCTGTATGAATCGGAAGCATACAAGGATTTCAATTGCCATCCGATTGGGCTCCCAGGCCCCAGTAAGATTCCGCGAACCCAAGAGGATTCCAATAGGATCCAATTGCCAAACTGATAGCAGTTCTGTGGCTTAAGATGTTCGAGTCATTTTTGATCCGTGACCTTAAACTTGCCAGCGAGGGTCAGGAACCATGTTTTTCATCGCTCCCCGCCCCACATGCTTCACGAACCGCCATCTCGCCTTTGGACGACCGAGACGACGGCGTCTTGCTCGGCTCCGCTGCGCGGCGAGATCCCGATGGCGGCATCTACAGCGCAGTCCGTATACTGCTGGGCAGACCTTGCAATCTCATATAAACACACGTGGATGGACGCTTCGCAGCCCGCCAGGGGGTTGGCGAGGCTGCCCGAGGGGGGAAGAGGAAGAGGAAGAGGAAGAGGAAGGGCGGAGGGCCCGCGGAGGAAGGAAGCGGGAGGGGGGGGCGGGCCCAGCGGGGCTGCTGGCTGCGCCCGCGCCGCGGCGGCGGACTCTCCAGGGGCCACCGTGCTGGGCAGTCTGGGCGCTCACTCTGGCCTGCTGTCGGGATCTGAGCCCTGCGGCAGCATCCGCTGCACGCATGTATCATGGAAGGACGCGCATCAGAGGAGGAAAAGGTACCCCGCCGCTGCTTCTCCCTCGTTTTCCCCTGTTTGGGCCTCCTGGGCGACCCTCGTCGCCACCGCTGGATTCGCCTGGAAGTTTTGGTCAGAACGCACCCCAGGAGAGGTCTGGGGAGTAGTGGTATCGATGCCTTTTGGTTTGTCCCGTGCGTGCGCCGCGCGCGCACATGGAAATATGGAAAATGTGAAAGATGGCTGCACCCGAGGGGCGACGACGAAAGGGGAACGACAGCAGGATGAGTGAGCGACGGGCAAGCGGAGAGGGGGATGCCACCGAGAAGGCGAGCTCACGCAACGCAGGCGCAGCGAAAGACATGCGAGGAAAGGTGACGAGGAAGCGACCAGCACAGGGGGGATAGCAAGGCGGCGGCGGAGGAGAAGGAGGAGGACGAGGTGGGAGGGGGAGAAGGGATGGGAAGCGGGAGTGGAGGAGGTCGCACAGATCATGCGGTCGCCAGGGAAAGAAACAACACGAGCAGAGGGTCTCGGGGCAATGGGAAGATGGAGGGGGGGCGGATGATGATAGTGATGATGGTAACAAGAATGATGATGCTGATGCTGATGCTGTTGACCATGATAATGATGATGCTGATGATGATGGTGGTGATGGTGGTGATGATTATGATGACGACGACGATGCTGATGTTGGAGATGCTGATGATGATGATGGTTGCATTTGTGATTATGGTGATGCTGCTGATGATGATGACGATGATGATGATAAAGATGATGGTGATGATGACGATGATGATGGTGATAGTGCTGGTGTTGATACTAATGATGATGCTGATGATGATGCTGATGATGCGGATGATGACGACGACAATGATGAAGATTATGATGGTGATGGTGAAGGTGGTCGTGACGGTGTTGATGCTATTGGTTGATTATGGTGACGATGTTGATGCTCACGATGGTGTCGATCTTGCAGATGATGATGCTGATGACGCTGCTGATGGTGGCTCTTGCGGTGTGTGTGATGATGCTGATACTGTTTCTGCTTATGGCGATGCTTCTGCTGATACTGATGAGGATGGTGCGGATACTGATTAGGTTGATGATGATGATGATGACGATGCCGATGACTGTGATGATGTTGCTGGTGATGATAGACGACGGCTCTGATGATGATGGTGGCCACTGTGATGGTGATGTTGATGATGATGTTGATGATACTGCTGATGATGCTGATGTTGATGCTGATGCTGATTATGCTGATTATCATGGTGACGTCGATGACGAGTTTGATGACGATCATAACGATGATGATGTTGCTGCTGATGATGATGATGCTGCTTATGATGATGATGAATACCATGATGATGCTGATGCTGCTGATGGTGACGATGACGGTGGTGGTGATGATGGCTGTGGTTTTGTAATGATTATGATGTTACTGATGCTGATGATGATAGTGCTGACGATGCTGATGATGGTGAGGATGATGCTGATGAGGATGATGCTGATGCTGATGCTGATAATGATGCTGATGCCAGTGATGATGACGATACTGATGCTGATGATGGTACATATGAGGATGTTGATGCTGATAATAGTGGCGATGCTGATGTTGAGACCGATGAATACCATGCTTATGATGATGCGGCTGCTTATGATGAAGATGACGATGCTGATCATGCTGATGATGATGATGATGAGGAGGAGGAGGAGGAGGAGGAGGAGGGAGAGGAGGAGGAGGAGGAGCAGGAGGAGGAGGGGGAGGAGGAGGAGGAGGAGGAGCAGGAGCAGGGCGAGGATACGGAGGAGAACGACGACGAGGACGAGGACGAGGGTTCGGAGGGGTGATGGAAAAGGGGAGCGGGGTGCGGCAGGGGGGAAGGAGCGAGCGAGCGAGCCGCGAAGCACTGGGCGACTCCACGGCCACCGATCAGCAAAAGAGTACCCATCGCTCGTTCAACGTATGCGTTCTTGGATTCCAAGGGTGTCCAATCAGCTTCAGGCGCCTCCCTGACACACTTGAAGCTGCTCATACTTTTCGACAGTGTGGGCGGAGACCAGACTTGCTGACGCTTCGCGTATCCCCACCATCCCATCCAGACACGATGCCCAAGGGAGTTGAGGTGATCAGGGGAGTGGGGGAACACTCAGACGAACAAAGGGCGGGGGAAGCCGTC